GTGTTTCACATTCAAATAGAGCAGAAATCGAGCAAAAAAGGTGAGGCACTGACGAGCTGTGCCGCTCTTCTGACTGCGTGATCCATTCAAGCTGGGTCACATGATGTGGGCCAGTTTCTGTTCCAGCCAATAAAGTGTAGAGAAAAGTCAGTAGGGGACACAAACAGTACTCTGCCTCACCTCAAGGGGGTCGTACGTGAACTGACAGGTGCTCTGCAGCTGGCGTCAATGGACAATTGAAAGTAGGTGAAGAACTTTATACTGCCTGATCCGACTTACTGTATTTCAAGATGGAAATATTTCTTAAAACTGGACTTCTAGTCCAAGCAGAAGTTGATTAGGGATGCAAGACCAACGCCAGAGCTAAAAGGTTTGCTTCTAAGTACGGCACAGAAGAGTCGTTCTTTTCAAACAGAGTGGTACCAACGTAAAGACAGGCTGTGCGGCTGTCCTGCAAGAAACGGCCTTTACTCTTTTCTTTGTCTTTTATTTTCATCGTGTGATAACCTCGGGACTAATTCGGGATACTGTGACCTGAAAAATTTGCAAAGAAGCCTCAGTAAACATGAAAGATCAGCTACACACATTCAAAGGATCCAGGATCAATTTGGCATTGGATGAGCAACGGAGGCTAAACATTAGCGTCCATAATGCTAGGGTGAGGGAAAGCCGAGAGATTTTAAAAATCCTTATTAATGCAACCTGTTTTCAGCCAAACAGGAGCTGGCATTTTGTGGTAATGATGAGAGTGCAAACTAGTGATGGGAAGACAGACTCTTTTTACTGATTCGGATCTTTGATTCTCGAACAGTAAAATGAACGAGTCGTGAACAAATCTTGAACTAATAATTTCATTTGATTTACAGCAGTAGGCGCTTTAGCCCTATTGTGGGCGTTGTAAAGAAGGCTGCGGTTCTCCGACACTAAATACTGAAGGCAAGATGGTTTGCTTCCACTGACAAAGTCTAAAAAGTACACAAAATACCATAAGCAAGTAAACCATGTGAAAACATAAAGAAAAACACACCACAATGTGAAGATGAATGAGTGCAAAAGAAACCCGAGCTCTCTGTTACGTGACAAATGAAACAAATCTGCGAGAACGAAGTGAAAGATTAGTTCACAGAGAGCGATTCGTTCATAGTGAAAGATTAGTTCACAGCAAAAGATTAGTTCACAGGGAGTGATTTGTTCATAGCGAAAGATTAGTTCACGGCAAAAGATTAGTTCACAGGGAGCTAAAAGGTTTGCTTCAAAGTACGGGACAGAAGAGTCGTTCTTTTCAAACAGAGTGGTACCAACGTAAAGACTGGCTGTGTGGCTGTCCTGCAAGAAACCGCCTTTACTGCTTTCCGTGTCTTTTATTTTCATCGTGTGCTAACGTCTGGACTAATTTGGGATACCGTGACCTGAAAAATTTGCAAAGAAGCCTCAGCAAACATGAAAGATCAGCTACGCACATTCAAAGTCAGATTTCTTTAAAAACTTTTGGAAATCCCAGGATCGATTTGGCATTGGATGAGCAACGAAGGCTAAACATTAGCGTCCATAATGCTAAGGTGAGGGAAAACCGAGAGATTTTAAAAGACCTTATTAATGCAACCTGTTTCCTAGCCAAACAGGAGCTAGCATTTTGTGGTAACGATGAGAGTGCAAACTCATCTAATCGGGCCAACTATGTGAAACTGTTTCATGCTTTTGCCGAGAAAGATGAGAGGTTAGCTATACATTTAGAATCTTCCACTTTGTTTTATGGCTTGTCAAACAGGATACAGAATGATTTAATTGAGGCAGTTGCTGATGTGATCAGAAAGGGTATTATAAGGGAGATTATAGACGCCTTATTTGTTGCAGTGGCTCAAACTTATGATGGGGCTGCCGTGATGGTATCAGAGCTTAACGGAGTGCAGGCTAAATTTAAAGACAAGGTGCCTGAGGCCATATTTACTCACTGCTATGTACATAACGTAAACCTGGTGCTGATGCATTCAGCAAAGTGTATGCCTGAAATTAAAAATTTTTTTTAAAACAGTTGAGGGAAGAAGTACATTTTTACAAGTCCACGAAATTTACCCACTTACTGGATGATGTTGTGAAGCGAAATTTACCAAGAGCAGCGCCCACACGATGGAGCTCAAACTCCCAGATGCTGCAGATAATAAACATCTTTCAGATTTGTGCGCTGTATTCTACATTGTAAGTGAAAATCCTGATAGCTGGGACAATAAAACTCTAATGATGGCTGCATGATATGATTGGTGGCTATCAAAAACATCATCGTGCTTCTTCCTTTAGGCATATGAGAGCGTTTTCTGTTGTACTATTCTCATACATGTCCTGCATCAAACTAACATACTTCTCTGTCATTCCTGACTTCCTCATACAAAACCACAATTCCTCCCTTTGCACTTTGTCATATGCCTTTTCTAAATCTACAAATACACAATGTAGCTCCTTCTGACCTTCTCTGTACTTCTTCATTAGCATCCTCAAGGCAAATAGTGCATCTGTGGTACTCTTCCTAGGCATGAAACCATACTGTTGTTCACAAATCTCCACTTCCTGCCACAACCTAGCTTCAACTACACTTTCCCAAATCTTCATTGTATGACTCATCAACTTTATTCTTCTGTAGTTGTTACAACTCTGTACACCACTCTTCTTATAAATTGGCACCAGAACACTTTTCCTCCACTCATTAGGCATCTTGTCTGTCTCTAGAATTCTGTTAAACAACCTAGTCAGGAACTCTACCGCCACTTCTCCTAAACACACCATATTTCCACTGGTATGTCATTGGGACCAACTGACTTTCCACTCTTCATCCTCTTCAGGGCATTTCTTACTTCTTACTTATTTCTTAATTCCTTCTAATGTACTTCATTGTATGACTCATCAACTTTATTCTTCTGTAGTTGTTACAACTCTGTACACCACTCTTCTTATAAATTGGCACCAGAACACTTTTCCTCCACTCATTAGGCATCTTGTCTGTCTCTAGAATTCTGTTAAACAACCTAGTCAGGAACTCTACCGCCACTTCTCCTAAACACACCATATTTCCACTGGTATGTCATTGGGACCAACTGACTTTCCACTCTTCATCCTCATCAGGGCATTTCTTACTTCTTACTTATTTCTTAATTCCTTCTAATTTAAATCCTTTCTAATCTGATCTACCTTCTTCCTAATAGGTTTTGGCTCCTCATTCCTACGTTTCATTTTCCTCATTCAACAGCTCCTCAAAGTATTCCTTCCATCTTCTTATCACACT